CAATCGGATCCGTCATGGATCTTAGAAACAGATCCGACATGGATTTTTCAAATGGATCCTATATTAATCATATTGATCAATCTTCAGGCAATTCTGATCCGCATCGGATCCAATCCTTCGATTCGTCCTATGACCGATAAGAAACTAGTTTAACCTAGTCTGAACTAGTTTAGCCTAATAAGAATAGAATAAGTACACATTAGGATAAATTGGTTTGGCCTAGTCTATATTTATTCTGCCTAGTCAAAAACGTTTAAGCGGGACGTGTAGAGACCTGTGCATGCACCAACGCCAACGCCATCTGTAGCACGATGCTACATTTTAGAATTACGTATGCTCCAACAAGGTCCACTTGTATGGATATCTACTTGCTGAAAACGAATCCCGGCGTAGCCAACCTCAACGTGATAGCCACGTTACCATAATCGAATAAAATAATTCGAAGTGGTCTGTATTCTGTCGAAACTGCCAGACACGGATCGCGATTTCGATCTTTTTGGATCTCATCAGCGCGTCGCAGGCAGCTCCGACAGAACACAGACCAACTTTTACCTGCTGTCTTAACAGTGCGTTTTAGAAAATACTACAAGAGCTATAATACTAAAATACGTAGCTAAAATACTACGGAGCTGCCTGCGACGCGCTGATGAGATCCAAAAAGATCGAAATCGCGATCCGCGTCTGGCAGTTTCAACAGAATACAGACCACTTCGAATTATTTTATTCGATTATGGTAACGTGCCTATATTTTAGACGTGTTACTTGTTTTGAAATTATAAATATCAGTAAAACAATATAATTTAAAACACTAAACCGTTTTTCTTTTAATTAATAAATGCATCATAATTTTATTAGTTTTGGTGTTTTATCATTCCCTATTTACAGACTAGGTCAAACCAGTTTATCCTGAAGGGTACTTAGGTTAAACTAGTTTCTCCTATAGACCATAGAACGAACCAGTTTAGCCTAGTCTGTACCGGTTTATCATATCGCCCGATGAACAGATGAACTGGTTTGGTCTAGGAAAAACTAGTTTGTCCTAAAATCGGGTTTGACCGGGTATGAATTGTGAGATTAAAATTTCAAAGCAGACCAAGCTAAACTTACCATAACCTAACCTTTACCTAAACTATAAAAAAATATTCAAATTACAGTTTAATTGAACATTATAATCGCCTTGTGTCTATCACAAATCTGTTTACAACCAAATTAATAATACTGACGTTAATTGTTATCAGGTTTAAGAAGTGTTTATTTTCCATTCCGTATTTTAAAAAACAGCTATCAGTTAGATTGCGTTTCTAATATTTGTACTATAATAAGGGTACCTACACTTCTGATTAGTTCTTACTAAAGTTAAAAAATGTCTGTTGTTTTGCACTGATAGGGGAAAATTGATGGACTCTTTTGACAGAAATATTGATTGGAAATAATAAATCACATTAACTGTCATTGTTATTACTGTAGTTATTAGTTCTGTCAATGCAGCAGACATTCGATATTGTAAACGGAAAAACAAAATAACTGTTCGCATAATCGATTTGTTCACGTTAACACGTTTAATTAAAAGATGAAAGAATTCCTTAAATTTACACTCTGTGTCCAAGATTTAATAGTTTAATTAATATTTTTAATCATAAGTTGCTAATTTTGTTGTACCTACTCGGGGTGGATCTAAACAAAACATAATTGTTAAAATATAAGTGACATGAAAAACTGGGCTTAGGAATAACAACTACATGGCTTGCGAATCGAGTCACAAGTTGTGCCACTACGTACGCTGCGCAGTAATGCTGTGCGCATCCGATTTGTCACGTAGATTTTGTGTCTGGCAATTGAAAGTACCAACGTTGATGCGCGGTCGCTCATTGCGCAACGGACGAACGCGTTTTCTTGTTCCTTGCTAATACTGATGCTTTTTAGACACATGCGCGTTAGGTTAAGTTATTACTCCTGCATCTTGTATTCTTGTATACGACCATCAGTCCAAACTTGGATGCGCTCAACTACTTTTTTACTTAATTTAATTTTTCTTCTTAATGTAATGCACCTTTTGAAGATTAGGCTATGGTTAGTTTAGCTTGTCCTGCTTTGAAATTTCAATGTTACAGTTCATTTATTATTCTGTACAAAGGGGTGAGGTTTTCATAATAATTAGTGTCATCTCGTTATCAAGGGTGGAGGGGTTGACTCAGTCGAAGTTCTTCAGAATTCTAAAAAGTTTGAAACATTTACCTTACCAAAGACGCCGAACGTGAATACCTGTACTCACTAAAATGCTTTTGTTCTACTTTTTACAATAAACAATTTTATTCGCCAGAGCAGTAATGTTACATACGTAAAATTAGGAAATTAGTAAGGTCAGGGCGAACGCAGAAGTCATTTTGGGGGGGGGGGAGTTTTCATGAAATATTTATTAAACCTTTTTATAATTGCAGCACATATTTATTGTAAACATAAAGGATATTAATACAAAAGTATCTACATAACTATGTCTACTATACTTGTAAACGTAATCATATCTCAAGTGTTACTTGAAGGTAAGAGTCCATCATTCAAGTATTAGGTAACACTGTTTGAGGGGGGGTATGTTTCTGAATGTAAAGTTCTGTAGGGTATTACGCTGGGGAGAGAAGATAGTTTAGAATTCTGATAAAAATAAGAAAACGATATTTTAGTGATTTTCTGGTATCTGCGATATATTCTTAAGTAAATATAGTCACATTAAAATTACGCAATGTTTAGAATGGGGTAATGAACGGGAAGGAGGGGTCAAAAATCTGCAAAAAATGCGCTCCGTTATATTTAAACAGCCTCCAATGTCTATGACATTATTAATCGCTTCTATTGACGTTTTCTTGAAAATTTCAAGTACCACTACTTCAGATAAAATCTTAGTTTATTCAATTCTTTTACCTTTGGTAAAATTGGTACTGTTTCGAAATACAACTCGTATCAGCCATGTCACTGCAAGTGATAGAGCAGGATTTGTAAACAATAACAAAAAGTAACAATAAATGTAATCAGCTCGTCATTTTCAATAATAGAAATATTAGTTTTACGTCACTTAGTTATCCTTTATACATAAATATTTTGCTTACTATTCCCTGATGCACTTTGTCTAAAAGTAGATAGTAAAATAAACAAATGTTCTTTAACAAATCTACAAAAGTTCTGATCAAATGAGAGTGAATAAAAAAAAAGGAGTCTAATATGTAGAAGAAAGAAGAAAGGCATAAAGGGCTAGTTAGGGACATATTAGAAGCAGAAACAGGAGTTAGGAGGAGTAGTTTTAGAAATGCAAAGATTAGCTCAGGATAGGAAGGATGAAAGTATGTGTTCAACCATTCTTAGGATTGACGATCCTATGATAGTGATGATGATGACGATGATCACACCTGGTTGAAAAAATTGCAATTCATTATTATAACGATTAGCGGTTGTGGTCAGATTATGTGACAAATTAAGAACTAACTCCCCAACTAGGTCACGCTCACAAGAGTTCTAAGGAGAGGCAGGATCACATTTAAACATGACCATGCAATTATTTATAACAATAATTTTATAATCTTACTGCATTTTTTAAAAATAATGATATTTACTATTGGAATTGTAATACACACTTACGATTAAATGACGTCTGTTGATATTAACTGCTGACTCTGTAGTACTTGCCTATAAGTGCTTGCGAACACTTTTATTTTTTTTTTTTTTAATAAATTCTAGAGTGTAGAGCTATTAAAAGCATAAGTGTATGATATCGTCTGTTTGTCAACTTAAAACTAATTCTAGAGTATGGAGTTACCAACAGATATCATTCAGTGCATAGAGATTGAGAATCAATAAGAACTCGGATTCATTATTAATTCGAAATCGCCAAAAGCAATTATTTAAACAAATCATTCGATATATAAAGTCAATTCAGCCTATAAAAGACCAGCTAACGTATAGAGCCGCTAATGACTCAGATATTTATGTGTTCTTACCACATAAAAGTTATTAATATAACAATTTAGAATTCCTACGTCATTCCTACGCTGGGCGCTCCCATAAATCATCTGCCTTTCGCTCTATTCTTCATATTCAATTTCCAGTCATACGCTGATTCTTCTAACTAAAGTTGGGATGCTCAAAATTAGCATAGTTCGCAATACAACTGTCAAATTTACCACCTTATTTTAACTTACTAACTAAACTAGATCGGTTTCTAACATTTACTCACTACGGACGTTGTAGGGAATATCGTAAGAATAGAAAAGAGATGCCAGGTAGGTATTGCAGCGGACACTATTAAAGAAAAGTAATAACATATTACACCAATTGATGTGTAACAGAAAGAGATGCAGACAAGCAGAATTTGAGCATGTTGCAGCATCGGAACAAGTTCAACATTCTGTAATTCCAACCAGACAGTTTTAAAGCCGACCCTGATCTTTTGCGTACTTAACCAACATCTTAACGATGCACTCATTACTATTATTCCGTTATCTCTTTTAACTTTAATTGTTTGTAATAGTCATGAAGCATTTCCTAACTTAACAAGGGCGTACTGTAGTTCTTAGGCTTTCACGGCCGACGCCTGTCTTTGCTGTGTTTTCTTCCTGGCTTTTTGGGCGTGGTCCGTGGAATCTTGCTTTTCCAGACGTTTCGCCTTTCTTTGCTGACATCTGGCATCTACAGTGGTGACTGGGCAGGTGCTAAGTCGTAACTAACAGTTTGGGAGCACCTGTTGTTGTTGTTCAACATATTTTGCCAGATATATTCTGAACGGCATTCAAGACATTCTAAATTTTTCTACCCTTTTTGGCACGAACCGCCACTGCAATGAACGTTATCATAATATTTTTTAGTTTTGTATCTAATTGCATGTACATTTACTTAGTTAACACAAACTTAAATAGGAATAGATAAGTAGGTGGTACTTCTGAATTAGATTTGCTATCAATTTTAATGAAAAAAATGACCGGGATTGGGAAAAAATTAGCATGTCACATCGATAAACTGTCAATTAAAGAAACTGATTACCGTATTAAGCTATAAATACGCATAAACATGAGGAAGAAGTCAGTTGTGGTATATTGTTTGCATCAACCAAACGGTAAGAATAGCATTTTCCATTAAATTATTATTCTGAATTATTAGATGGCCTACAACTGGATAATAATTGATCCTTATACCATAATTCATATTCACCCATGAGTACCTTATAGCGTTATTTTTTTGCTACCATTTAAAAGCAAAAAAAAAACTAATTTTACAATTACTAACTCTTTCAGCGATAAACCATGAATCCCTTAGTACTGCTAAGCAGTATTCTTTTGGTGACTTCAACTTTGGCCAGTCCCCTTTCTGGTGATACTCGTGCAAGTTGTACTCTCTCAGGATCCAGTTTGGGCAGCTTAAGTTCAATCAAGTCATCATGTACAAAAATCACCATACAAGACTTAACGGTCCCCGCTGGTAAAACGTTAGATTTAACCGGTTTAAAATCTGGGACCACTGTCACTTTCAAAGGAACCACTACATTCGGTTACAAAGAATGGGCCGGCCCTCTAATATCTGTCAGTGGATCAAAGATTACAATTGATGGAGCATCTGGGAATAAAATAGACGGTAAAGGATCACAATACTGGGACGGAAAAGGTGGAAATGGTGGAAAAACCAAACCCAAATTTTTCAAAGCAGGAAAACTCAATCACTCAGTTATCAAGAACATTAACATCTACAACACGCCCGTCCATGTATTTTCCATTAACAACTGTGAAAATATAACAGTGCAAAACGTCCTTATTGACGATTCCAAAGGCGATTCCGGCGGTGGTCACAACACCGATGGATTCGACGTTAGCGACTCCACCCAAGTTGTCATCAAAAACAGCAAAGTTTACAGCCAAGACGACTGTCTCGCCATCAATTCAGTCAATGATCTTCGTTTCGAAAACAACTATTGCAAAGGTGGACATGGTATTTCCATTGGATCTGTTGGAGGCCGCAGCAATAACGTTGTAAAGAAAGTGGTAGTCAAAAATTGTGAAGTTGTCAACAATGATAACGGCATCAGAATCAAGACGGTATACGACAAGACAGGATCGGTCAGTGACATCACCTTCCAGGACATCACTCTTACCAACATTAACAAATATGGTATCACCATTCGTGGCGATTACACCAACAGCGGACACAAAGGTACCGCAACCAGTGGTGTTCCAATTAAGGGATTGACCATTAAAAATGTGAAGGGTACAGTAAAATCATCAGCAACTAGGATATTCGTTTTGGTAAAGGGAGCGTCTAACTGGAAATGGTCTGGTGTGAGTATTTCTGGAGGAAAGAAATCAAGCAGCTGTTCTGGAATACCAAGTGGTTCTGGAGCGTCTTGCTGAGATAATTTATGACAATTATAACTGTTAAACGTATATTTGCAAAACACAAATCAATAAATTAATTATTAGCAATTGTTATTTCTTTATTATTATTTTCCTGGTCTTCTCAGTTTGCACTGGTAACTTTAATCAAGTGAAGACGGGCTAATGCCAAACTACCTCACTCACATCTTTTGGGATATAGAAACCAACTTTCTGTTCTTAAAATTTAGGGAGCTAACGGTTCTTCTTGCCCTAAAATATGATCAGTGAGTATTAAAAACTCTGCTTCTTATTTAACCTGTTGTGTTTTCTGAAAAGGGGGATATGTCAGTACTGTTAAGAAATCTACGCACTATTCCGCATGTATCAAGGATTACCGATTTCTGTAGACTTATGTACGTAAACTTATGCAGTTTCAACTCGGCTAGGCTAGCGTGTAATGTTTTAGGTATAACGCCTATTGATGATATTATTATTGGAATAATTCGAACTGTGTTCTGATTCCACATGTCTTTTATTTCATCTGCTAATGGAATATATTTTTGAATTTTCTCAATATGTTTTTGTTTAAGATTTTCAGTGTTTGGTACTGCAANCAGCTCATCTCTAACAGCATAGTTTTTTTAGAAGTCATTTTTTGAAAACAGAAAACTGCTTAGGGGCCCCTCGACTGCGGGGGCCCCGGTGCGCCGCACCGCTTGAACCGGCCTCGCTACGGCCCTGTCAAAACTTAAGCTTTCATTAGTTGGATAGGTACAAAATATACCTACTTATGTTGTTTTAATTTATTAGTAGTAGTAATATATATTTCAACATAAAGTTATTTACACAATACATACAATTCTTATCAAACTAAGCCTTCATTCAAACACAACAATTACAAAAGAAAGGTAACTTAACTCAAATAATAAAAAAAGAAACTAATCGAATCTTATCGTATCACGTCCCACATACATATATACATACACTCATACATATTTTTTTATTATTATTATTATTAACAGGTGTAAGTAATTACAGATATCGCGCTTACAAACTATTACAATAATTTCATCGCAGTTTAGGACAAATCTTTTATCCCTGTCATGAGAGATGGATTCGGGATCCACTCTATGACGGAGGTAAAAGTTAACAATCTTCGAATCTAAATTTACATTTTCCTGTATTTTCCAAAACCAGTTACAATTTAATGTACATTTCGGCAATATTCGTCAATTTTTTTAGTAGTGGAATTGTGCATACGTATTTTATGTTGGTACATTAATATTTAACGAATAAATGGAAAGTAAGAAGCACCAAAAACAAATAAGCATTACAACAGAGTGGAGAATAAACATGAGATGACTTACTAAGAGCAGAAGATACAAGGTCGATCTGGACTAAACTCATTTATGTCTGAGTTTTGGTAAAATTTGTAGGACAGGGATATTAATAAAGAACCAACAGTACACTAACGACAAGAAGATAATACGTGCCAAATTATCTTTACCTGTGTTTGTGAGTTACGTTTCTTCGTGTGGTACATTTGCCGCTGGTTAATGCCTATACAAAAATTTTCAGTCTCTCAGAGTCTTTCAACGTCTATGAGAGCGTCTCTCACAGTCTTTCACAGCCTCACAGTTATTGCCTAGGTGTTTTTATGGATCTCTCACAGTCTCTGTATGAGAGACTCGAACGATTCATTCAGAGTTTCGAGTCTCTCTCCGAAATATGTTGAACTTAGAAAATTTTAACCATGTCTATCGAGACACCACTTATTCAGAGAATCGAGTCTCTCGTTCAGAAACGCTAAACAGTTTTTTTGACAGTCTCTCGACAGTGTCTCTCAACGACACCAGAGAGACTCGATGAGAGACGGAGACTCGAGTTTCGCTTTCAGAGACTCTGAGAGACTGTTGATTGATCTGAGGAGAAACGTTGGTCGTTTTAAAATAAAAAATCTTTTTATCCCTTATTTGGCACATATTATTTTGTTGATACGACTCAGGGGAAGAATTGTGGAATGCAATACTAACGACAAGAGTTTAAAACAAAAAAAAATGGAAGGTAGNAACGACAAGAGTTTAAAACAAAAAAAAAATGGAAGGTAGAGATTCCATTGTAACGAATTAATAAACAACACTTTTTAATTAATAAAAACAACTTGTTTGTCTTAATATACACCCTTAGCTGTAAGCACCCTCACATTTAGGTACCTTATTACTGGATATAAATAGCTGTGTGTTAAACGAATCAAAACTAATTTAGGAAAGGTATAAAATTTTTTCTTGTTTCATAAAATTTAAAAAAAAATCGTACCCGAAATTGACTTTGAATCATTTGACGTTGGAATTATAAAAAGATATTTATCTCCTTACACTATTCAGCAAGTTGTTTTCGTTAAATAAAAGTAATATTAAACAAATTAAAGGTGTTTTTTATTTGTTCGTTGTCTGGTTTATTTTTACAAAAATTTAAATCTCTAATTATGACTTTTCCTCCAAAATACAATTAGTTTTTATACTGTTGAAAAACAAATTCCGACATAAACATTTTTAGGAAATGTTGTTGTTTATTTCATTGTTTAAGTAATTGCAATTTTTCTGTAAATTCGGCAAATAATAAACAAGATAGGGACGAGTTTTTGTACCATATCCACATAAATTCATAAACATTTTTATGAACAATCTAAAAGTTCTAACCGTTGATTAACTGTCTTCAAAAATCTTCTTAAATCTTATCCTATGATACTTTAATCTCTTAAGGAAAGAGAACAAGTTCTTGGTCAGTAAACCAAGTAGTTTATCAAAGGTGAACCGCGGTTCCGAACCATGTGGTTCCCGTAAACAGTTCAAGAAAACCCCGACCAACCCATAATGCATCAGCCTATAGACATCGTAACGTGGACGTTATCGTTAGAGATTTTAAAACAAGATATTTCATTGGTTTCAATAACAACGTATTGATTAGACCAGACTACGCATATTGTTTATCAAGAGATAAACAGTAATAGAAACCTGTGTGATAAACATTAAACAAATTATCATTTAGACAAAATCACTTTCTAGATAAAAAGCTACTTAAAATGGTAAAACGGTGTTGTTATTGCAATTGCTCTAAGAAATATAAGTGTACTCGATAAGATAGCACTTTTGCAATATTTTATTATTAGAAAAGTATGTAAAACCAAATGATAAATAATTGTAAACTAATTGAAATAAGTACCTGTAATTTTAAAGGAGACTCTAAAAAAAAAACAAATTAAATTATGTAATGCAATACAGCGATCCAAGTGGTTGGTCTCTACAAACAGTCTTTATTGTCGCAAAATAAGTTTTGTCTATGTTTTAAAAAGCAGCAGCAATAATTGTTCGTCATTAACTTGAAGTAATCTGTAGAAGGTACAGAGTTAATTTCACTTTGATGTTTAAGATTATTACGTAAAATAAACCTCTTTGTGAAATGTTTCATGTATATTGATAATATATAAACAATATAAACGAAATTACACGACAAAAGTGTATGGAACCTTAACAAAATTTAAAAAAGTAACCAGTATAACAAAACTGACTTCTAGTTTCATTTACATCGTTTGAAAATGCACGCTCTAGGATTTTTATGACTGCCTCAACTTCGTTTTACCGTGTATCATGAGTTAGGGGAGGGAATCAGACAAAAAAATTTTGACGATTAATATTGATTGCATATTCATTTATAAAAATTGCACGCTACAATGCCAATTCTGATATGACAATGTCAACTCAAAATAGACGAGGCTGCAAGTGCTATTGGTGGAGGGGAAGAGGGTCAAACTCCCGACACCTTTCAAAATTGGCATATTACACAATAAAACTGTCGCATTTACTGTCTTTCTTCAACTAATTAGACTAGAGCGGTTGCTAACAGAACAACTACTTTTACTCACGACAGGCGTTGTAAGGAATATCGAAAACACAGAAAAGAGATGCCAGGTAGGAATTGCAGCGGACACTATCAAAGAAAAAGTAATAACATTACACCAATTGATGTGACAGAAAGAGATGCAAACAACCAGAATTTGAGCATGTTGCAGAATCTTTCATTAAAGTAAGTTCAACATTCTCAGGAAATAAGGAAAAGCAAAGGGGCTTGTTTAAAGATATAACTCCAACCAGGTAGTTATAAAGCCGACCCCGATCTTTTGCGTACTTAACCAACATCTTAACGATGCACTCCTTACTATTATTCGGTTATCTCTTTTAACTTTGTTAATAATACTCATGAAGCATTTCCTAACTTAACAAGGACGTGTTCAAAACGTAGCAAATGCCTATAGTCCCAACTGGAAACAAGTAAAACGATACGTCCTTTCTCTTAAATAATTTATAACGGATTTTACCAATTTTGATCGTCCTAACTAGCTGCAGTGTGCAATTTACATTACATTTATAATCTTGTCAGTACAACTTAACTTTAGAATGGTTATTTGTTCCTAAAATAAACATTTTTTAGGTTACGTTTGCATGATGCGAAATATCTCGGAAATGTTTGTATTTTGTTTTGTGTAAGATAAATCTAAAGTAAATAATATTTGCCTAAAAACGTATCTATAAAATATATCTTTATTGTATATTGTAGCTCTGTGCATCATAAGGCAGACATTGTTTTTGTTTTATAGCCTTGAGGAGGTTTAGCTCATAAAGCTAACGAAACGTAGACAAAACATATTTTGTTCTAAACCGGTTATTGATGTCGAATAAAATTTTATAAATCGCTGATCCCTTAAATCTCAAATAGCTTTGCAACATTTCATTTTATTTTCCTAATGAGTTTAATTAAAACGCGCCTAGGTTAGGCTGACCTAGTAGGCAAATTTCTACGGTGTTGCTGCTGAAACCCCTCGTAGCTTAGAAGTCAGAGCGTTGAGGGCCGGGGTTCAACTCCCGGCGAGAGTGTGACACTAGCAATTTTTCCTTATTAATTCTGGTTTATTTGTACAGGCTTAAATATTAATTCTCATTAATGTTTAAAAATATTATTAGATATTAACTTCTATCAAGTATACAAAAAATAATATTCTTCAAAGTATTTCTAATGATTATTACTAATGGATAAATAATCCACATTAACCCTCGCTATCTCCTCTTCAGGGTTGTAAGGTCCCATCGAAACCGGTTCAGCTCATTCAAACAATTTTTTTTAACGATTTTGTACGTCTTATTAACGCCATTTAATAACCATCTTAAGAGCTTATACTAAAACACTTAATTCTATATTACAAGCAGAAACATCAACAATAAGATATTAAAATACAGATGATGATGAATGATGACTGATTATTACATGAATGGTTCATTGCGTAACGTAACAAATGGTTAAACAATTCTAGAAATTGTTTATCTAAATATAGTTTTCATTTCAATTCCGTAACAGAATTTTTTTTTCACAGTCATGATTATATTAGTAAATAATAAAATTTTTTGAAGAATGCGGAATATAAATTGCATTTACTGGACTAATATTGGTTTTACAAAAATCAACGTCGAAAGATGAATCTCTTTTATACTTCATTTACTTTCTCTACCGATGTGCCCCTTCCAATGTCTTGGATGCGCGCTGGCAAAATCGCAGATAGGGAGAAAAAAGCTCATTAAACTCTCGACTCTTGTTCATTAAACATACTTTTTCCTACAGTACCTGCCAAAAAAATTGTTCAATCATGAATAGTAATGCTAGTCGAAAACAAGCGTTTAAGCCTTTAATATGTCTTCCAATATAAATAAACATCTCGTTGATATTTTCAGTAGTAAATGGTACCAATAACAGCACATTTGAGCAATGCAATTCAAGTGGATAAAATGGTCAATTTTTCCGTGCAGTACTGTACGGATTGTACGATCCTCACCGGTTAAGAGAGTTGTCCCCTTCCTTTTCTGACCTAGTGCTGTTCTTTTCTACTTTGCGCCGGTCAAACTGAAGGTCACATCGCTACAGAAAGTAAACGAAGTATACTTTTATCCAAAAAGAATAATATGGTATCACCACACTATACGGAGAAAACTAAATTTTTATGATAACGCAAAAAAATTTTTCAACAATTTTCGATTATAAATAACTAAATTTGCCATAGATATAGTAGAATTTACTAGGTAAATTGTAATAATCTCAATTTTGACATGTTACTTTAAAAATTATTCAAGTNTTAATTTTTACCATTAAATTTGTAATATCAACTAAAATACCTAGTAAATTTATTACTGCTGACCAAATTGTAATTTTTATTATTTTCGCTTACGAAGAAACGTGCTAGTGGGATAGATTGTAAATAACCCTATAAAATATTTAGGTAAATTTTCATTTTTCATTTTCTCCGTGTAATGTTGCTGTTAACGATGGACAAGTGGTGCCATCTTTGGGACCTATGTAACGGCTCATGACGACTAATGAAGGTACAGTCGGCACATTTTCACCCTTCCCGCACCTCACCCGTCGACTGTTGAGAAGCTGGAGCGAATCAAAAATAAAATTCTTTCTGGTCGGTTATACATATATTTATGTTTTGGGTTGTTAACCCTTTATCGCCAGTCATTCGCATGGAAATAACAAATTACAGTTAAAATATATGTATGCAAAGATGTACTCATTAAATTTCAAAAAATTTAATAACGTTTTTACCACTTTCCTTGTAAATTTCAAAAATGTTTCATAATTTTGCCATCAAAACAATTACTTCTATTATTAAAATTTTCTATAACTAAATGCGTGCCCCTAAAAATAATCCCCTATCATCAACAACTCAACAAAAAAAATTTTTTTAATTAGTTCGCTAGGTGACGGAAACGATACAACCTACACCAACATAATATCATGCCCCTTGCAATCAGACGAAGAATAATTGATATCAATCCATCTTAAAACTGAATGACGTAGATAAAGTTGTTGAAGACAGAAAAAATAAAATAATATTTATTTTTCACTCAAACATGCCCTTCACATTATGCTGATTATTTATTATTAGATCTTATCGTTCTTCCCGTACCTAGTATAAATAATCCCCAATAACTGAATTCAGACAGTTGCAGATTGTTGCACATCAACTAAGAGGTAAGAACATTGTGTTCAAATTCAATCAGTATTCTATTCGTTTACTTTAATTGAACCAGAAAAGAACCAAGAATACCGATTCCATTTGGTTTTAATATAATAATACGTTACATTATATATATTTATTTCAGGAATACATAATGAATTCATTAGCGCTTTTGGGCACAATATTCCTGGCAGCTTCGAGCTTGTCAATTCCGCTCGATGGTGAGACCAGAGCTTCCTGTACCCTTAAAGGATCATCAATAAGTGACCTAAGCTCTGTCAAAAAGTCATGTTCAAGTATCACCATTCAGGATTTGACCGTTCCCGCTGGTCAAACATTAGATTTAACTGGACTGAAATCTGGAACAACTGTTACATTCAAGGGAACAATCAAGTTCGGCACAAAACAATGGGCTGGTCCTCTAATCTCTGTTAGTGGATCCCAAATTACAGTGAATGGAGCATCTGGAAATAAAATCGATGGTGGTGGCGCGTCATACTGGGACGGAAAAGGAGGAAATGGTGGAAAAACCAAACCTAAATTTTTCAAAGCAGGAAAACTCAATCACTCAGTTATTAAGAACATTAATATTTACAACTCCCCAGTACATGTCTTCTCAATTAATAATTGCCAAAATCTAACAGTACAGAGCGTCCTTATTGACGACTCAAAGGGTGATTCTGGTGGTGGCCACAACACTGATGGATTCGACATTAGTGACTCTTCCCAAATTACAATCAAGAACAGTAAAATTTACAACCAAGATGACTGTCTCGCCATCAATTCTGGAACTGACATCCATTTTGAAAACAACTACTGCAAAGGTGGACACGGTATTTCAATTGGATCCGTTGGAGGCCGCAGCAATAATGTCGTAAAGAAAGTAACCGTTAAGAACTGCGAAGTTGTCAACTCCGACAATGGTATAAGAGTCAAAACCATATACGGAACGACAGGAACTGTCAGTGACATCACCTTCCAAGACATCACCCTTACCAACATCAACAAATGTGGTATCAGCGTTCGTGGTGATTACACCAACAGTGGAAGCAAAGGTACTGCAACTGATGGTGTTCCAATCAAGAATTTGACCGTTAAAAATGTCCAAGGTACGATAAAGTCAGGAGGAACAAGGGTTATGATTTTGGTTAAAGGAGCATCAGGATGGAAATGGTCTGGTGTGAGTCTTAGTGGTGGCAAGGCAGCAAGCGGTTGTTCCGGAATACCAAGCGGTTCCGGAGCGAAGTGTTGAATAATCTTGTGACAAATATAGGTTAATAATCTAAATCATCATGACAATTCTTGTATTAGTTACTTAGAGTTAATAAATTTTGAAGTATGCACCAATGAATTTTACTTTTCGTTGTAACCATTGCGTTAGCACTATGGTTAGGACAATCAATGATTTGAGATCTAAGATTTCATAATCTGACCCATTTCCGAGTGATTCCGAGACGGTTTGATTCCTGGATGGACCTGTACATCACAATGCATGACTTTATGACAGTCTTCTTGCTGTCAAGCCTGACGAATTTGTGTACACATTTTGCCAATGCCCTCCATAACACTATTTTTACGCATAAGCACAAAAGAAACCCTTCTCGAAATTGAAACAAAAGATATTGATTTTGAATGGAACTACTATTTGAAAAAATCTGACATTAAAAGAAAATGAATTGTGAGTGAAACGAATTGATAAAGAGTGAAAATGGACGTGCCTTCTTCTTGCTTCTCCTTGTCCTTGTCCATGTCCTTGTTAAATTAACCTCATGAAGATTACTGACAAAATAAAAAGAGATAATAAAGGAGTTCATGGAGAACAGCGTTCTGTCGAATCTGCCCGACAGGATCAATCATCAATGCGTCTTGGTCAATTGCGACAGTAAACTCTACCTGCTGCCTAAACATAGGGTTTTATAAAGTACCACAAACGGCGTAGTGGACGCCATCTGTGGCTCAGTAAACGTATAATGGCATTTAGTGTATTCAACCAGGTCCATTCGCGTTGATGGATATCTACTTGCTGAACAGAAAGCAAGGCGCGGTTCATCCCTATGTGATGAGAGATGAGATCCACCAAGATCGAAATCGCGATCCGCGTCTGGTAGTTTTAAGAGAACGCTAACCATCATGAACTTTGTTCAATTGATTACGTACCAATAACGTAAGAATCAGCCACGCCGTTGATTCCGTTCAGCAAGTAGATATCCATCAACATAAATGGACTTTGTTGAATACGTTGGATGCCACTAGATGGAATTCACCACGCCGTTTATAGTACTTTAATTACATTGAAAAGAGATAACTGAATAATAAAAAGCGCTGTTAGAGGCTTATATATGTAAAAGATCAGGGTCGGCTTTATAACTGCCTGGTTGGAATTACAACTTCAGGCAAGCGTCTTTTCTTTCCTAAGTTCCTGAGAATATTGAACTCTCTTTGAAGTCCGATGCTGGCAACATGCTCTAATTCTGCTTGTCTGCATCTTTTTCTGTTACACATTAATTGGTATAATGTCATTCCTTTTTCTTTATTAGTGTCCGCTGCAATTCCTACCTGACATCTCTTCTCTATGCTTATGATATTCCCTATAACGTTCGTTGTGAGTCCGTATTTAGGCTTTCTGGGCAACTTTTTCGACAATCTTTTAGGTGAAGCTGATTCCGGGTACCGATTTGTCCGGTTCCTAGAAAAATGACTATTCCGACGATCTTATTTTAAAAAAGAGAGAAAAAATTTTATTAGGCTTATATTCTAGCCACAATGGGCATATTGCAACGTTTTTGGGTCATTTGTCCAAAAAACGAAACCATTTGAATATCGCCGCCATTTTTTCCATGACCCCATAGTTTACCACTCTAAAAAACTTTTTGAACCTTGTCTTATTTATCTTTGAACAGTCGATATAGCAAAATTTCACCATCGACCTTGTGTTAAAGTAAGAAACAAGCTTAGATGAAACTTATAGTTCGGCCCCAATGAGCATATTATTATGAACTTTTGCGTCATTTGTCTCAAAAAGGAAAAATTTGAATATCTCCGCTATTCTCTGCTGCTAGAGACAGAATATGAAAAACTGAACCTCGTACATAAGCAACATCAATGTGGCTGTCTCTCTGTTAATGGATAAAAGCAGACACACGTGGGTATTTACAATTAAGCATTTTGCACAATCAAACTTGAAAATCTCATTGTTATTTTTAATGCGAAAACTACGTAGATAATTACTACAACAAATATTTTTATAGACAAAGCGTATGATTAACATGATTCATTACTTACACCACCAAAAAACAAAAAATAATGGTAAAGGTCAAAACAAATGACCGGATATGACAATTGTTTCTACTATACGGTACCATTTGGTACTTTTCATTAACTTAATTACCTTCAAAATCATCTTTATGTACATTAAAAACACAAAGCCCTTTGTGGAACTGTAAACAGTATGCTTTTAAACCCTCTTCTAATTTTCCCCCTTCTACCTATATATTCACTCTTCAAAGTTTAATGACTAAAACTTTTTATGCTTTAATTATTTCATTCGAAACAGAAAATTATTATTGATAAAACAGATTAATTAATCGATGCATATGAAAATTCCATCCAACAAATAATGAAGTATTAAAAAGTGTTTTCGCTTTTGTATTAAAAAAGTGTTTAACAATTTCATCCCTAACAATTTTATTTCATCAACTGACAACCAACATCAAAACACCCTAAAAAGTAACGGTCCCTTTAAAATCATCTAGATGTTCAGAAAAGGATTTTTCAGTTAGTTCAGTTTGTGAGTAAACCGTAAGGATTTCCGCCTTTAAGACGAAGAACAATAGACAGAGATATTAATTAGTTTTAAAACACTTGACATGGAATCAACAAAAACACCGTTCCACAAACAAAAGTCAAATAATATTTGTTTTTCATTTATGCATGTCCTACTTACGTTGATTGTTTATTTATGCACCTTATCTCTCCTCCAGAAAGTAGTATAAATAGTCCCAAATAACTGAATTTATGCAGTTTCAGACTATTTCACATAACTGAAAGGTAAGAATTCATATTTAATATCTAAATCACTTTAAAAAAATGTCGATGTCCGACATCAGTATTTATTTTTATCTTTTGTTGTTACAAACATTTCAAATTTCTTTCAGAAATATATAATGAATTCCTTGGCGCTTTTGGGCACTATACTTTTGACAGCTTCGAGCCTGTCAAATCCGCTCGATGGTGAGACCAGAGCTTCCTGTACCCTTGAAGGAGAATCAATTAGTGACCTAAGTTCTATCAAACAGTCGTGTACAAGTATCACCATTCGGGACTTGAACGTTCCAGCCGGTCAAACATTAGATTTAACTGGACTGAAATCTGGAACAACTGTTACCTTCAGTGGAACAATCAATTTCGGTGTAAAAGAATGGGATGGTCCTCTAATCGCTGTTAGTGGATCGCAAATTACAGTAAATGGAGCATCCGGAAATAGAATTAATGGTGGTGGCCCCTCATACTGGGATGGACAAGGAGGAAATGGTGGAATAGATAAACCTAGATTTTTCAGAGCAGCAAGACTCGATCACTCCGTTATTAGGAACATTAACATTTACGACTCCCCAGTGCATGTCTTCTCAATTAATAGATGCCAAAACTTAACAGTAGATAATGTCCTCATTGACGACTCCAAAGGTGATTCTGGCGGTGGTCATAACACTGACGGATTCGATGTTGGCCGCTCTTCCCAAATTACAATCAAGAACACTAGGGTTTACAACCAAGATGACTGTCTCGCCGTCAACTCTGGAACCGACATTTTATTTGAAAACAATTACTGCAGCGGAGGACATGGTATATCGATTGGATCCGTAGGAGGCCGTGACGACAATGTCGTAAGGAATGTTGTCGTTAGGAATTGCGAAGTTGCCAACTCTGACAATGGCATCAGAATTAAAACCGTTTATGGAGCGACAGGATCAGTTAGTGATATCACCTTCCAAGACATCACCCTTACCAACATCACTAGATATGGTATCACCGTTCGTGGTGATTACACCAACAGTGGAAGTAGAGGAAATGCAACTGATGGTGTTCCAATCAGGAATTTGGTCGTTAGAAATGTTCGTGGTACGATAAGATCTGGAGGGACCAGGGTTATGGTTTTGGTTAAAGGAGCATCAGAATGGAGATGGTCTGGTGTGAGTCTTAGTGGTGGAAGATCAACAAATGATTGTTCTGGAATACCAAGTGGTTCTGGAGCGCAGTGTTGAGTAATACAGTTAATGTTACATCTATAACCTACTGTTATACTGTTTTCACGTTAAAAATTCTTATTGAAGTTACTTAGTTAGCATTAGCTACCCCAATTTTACTATCGGAAAATATTCACTCTGCTTTTGGTTATTATTTACTTGAGTGTTCACGTTCAGTGTACCAGTTCGATGACTAATAGTTAGTAGTTGTAATTTGTATATTGATATAACTGTGACCCCTCCGCTCTAACAATTTTCCAAAAAAATGTCATATTTCCATCCGTCAGAAGGTGACCGCTATGCTCAGGATTAGGTTTACAGGGATACTTTAGATTTAGACCTGTTTTAGAATTATTATTTATTATTGTTGCTTGATACAGTTTGTTTCTATTATAAAAAATTGAATTAATAAAAAACATACTGTTGAAATATTGTAATCTACTTTTTTCTATCCAGAGTATGAATATTTATCTGGAAACACTAGATAACACACTCTGTGACAAATAGAAGTTAATGTGTGCTCAATAAGTCTTCCCTAGAGTCAATTAAACCTATTAAAGATACCTTGACGATGTTCGACAAACTAAAATGACGTTGCTCTTAATGAAGGACTTTAGAAATGCTTCGGCAAAACATAACAAGTTCTAACCTAAAGCTATGTTGTTGCTGATGAAGTTATATAAGAGTTAGTGCCTAAAATAAATCAAAAGAGGGTATATATAAGAGAAATCGTAAAAGAAGTTGTATCGGTATCAGATTGAGACATTTTCGCTCAATCGGCCACACAAAGAACAATTATTCGGTCTGGGGTCTGACTATGTATGCAGTAGATTTTTAGAGTTGCTGGATCCAAATCCACGGCCAATTTAATTCTAGCGCATCTGAACTTGGGTATAGTCTCAAAAAACACTTCAAAACCCACTAAACGTGTTAAAAAAATTTAATCTAGGGGTTTGACTGTGTTAAGCGTATGTTTTTGGGGTTGCTGAATTTACATCCACGGTCAATTTAACCCTGACACGTGAGTCTTGGACATAACCTCAACAGATATTCCTAAATCCACTAAAACCGTTAGTCATGATAATTCCAAACGATTTTAAACCTAAAACCGGTAATCAATTAACTTTCCCATTAAATACATAACCTCATAATCCTTAAAATTTCTAACCCTAAAACCTTATAACTTCACAACCCTATATACCCATAATCAAAATACTGAAACAGTATTCCTTAATCTTTCGCCATGAAACTGTTTATCACGTAGATATCACAAAATCCAAATAAATAAATTTACGTAAATTTAACAACACAAAATTTTATACTAACAAATTAGTCGATTTTAGTCCAGAATTTCTTGTCATGATCCCATATATATATTGAATTGAACCTACATTTAGCGGTGCCTCAATTTAAACGAAACGTTTTTTTACCTATTTTTGATCACTCCGTATAGTAAATTAAATTAAGATGTCACCGACGATCTTACATTCAAATAGGGAACAAGCCTTGTTTCCGATTAAACTCATTATCTGGCCACAATGAGCATATTGCAAACTTATTGGGATTTTTAACTGGAAAAGACAGTGTTTGAATATCGCCGTGATTATTATTGTTTGGGTTCAAAATATGACAAAAACGAACCACGCAAGGAAGCAAAGCCAATGTGCCTTTCTCTATTTTAATGCCTATAAGAGGATACGCGTGGGTACTTGAGTACAATTAAACAAAGATGAACTATCTTATTATTGTTATTTGTTTTGTGATTATTGTATTTTTTTAAAGAGAAAACACCGCAATCACTACAATAAATATTTTTGTAGACATAACGGCTATTTCTTGATTCATTACATGTACCATTAAAAAATAAAGGTAAATATCAATGACCGGATATAAGAAATGTTTTTTTTTTTTCGTAAAAACTAGTACCATTTGATATCATAATCATTTTTATATACAATAAATGACAAAATGCTTTTAATACCTCTAGGTCTAATGAGTGAAACTCCATACAGTATGTTTAGGGTAGTTCACCCTCTATGAAGAATATTCGTTTCGAAACAACAAAATACTGTTGACAGTGGCTTATCACAATCAACTTGAAAGCACACCTCCTAAGTGTATCGACCTTTAAAAAGAATCCCCTATCATCCAGGACTCAACAAAAAGGTCTTTCAGTTAGTTCAATTTATCAGCAGCATGTGGACTTCCTTTAAGGTGAAGAACACTAGGTAGATGTTAATTTTTCTTAAAACACTTGACGTAGAACAATAACTCTGTTGTACAAACAACAAATAAATTATATTTATTTTTCATTCAATTCATTCATTGCAAGCCCTTCGATCCACATTGATTATTTATTTATGCATCTTATCTCTTATTCCGTACCTAGTATAAATACTCACCAATAACTGAATTTAGGCAGATTCAGGTCCACTGAAAGGTAAGAATATTGTATACATATTTAACATTTAATTCCTACAACATAACCAACCATTCCAATTTTNGAAAGGTAAGAATATTCTATTCATATTATTTAACAATCAATTCCATTAAAAAAATTTGTCAATGCTTTGCATCAATTTTCATTTAATTTTAATTACACTGACAAAGAACTTAATATGATATCCAATTCTACCCTTAATTTATTATGGGGTTAGGAGCAAATATTATTGTTGTATTGTATAACAGTACAACAAGAGGCAAAACGTTGGACCTGGTTTCAAAATAAATAAATTATTTATCCCTTGTGGTCCCGATTTAACATTAAAGAATTTACTGTTTTTCCCAGGGTGGTGGTCAAAAAATTATGAAAATGCCTCTTTGCGTATCTTTTCGGTTCATTCAACCATCAAATATACAAAAGTATCTAGTTCTACCCAAATAGTTTTAAACATCCACCACTCCAAGAAAAACGATTTAGTTTGAATTTAAACGGTTGGATAGTCAAAATAACCTGAAAACCAATAATTCCGATTCTATTTGTTTTTTACTGTTATAACATGTGACTTTTCAACTTCCTTTCAGAAACATACAATGAATTCATTGGCGATTTTCGGCACTATACTCTTGGCAGCTTCGTGCCTGTCAAATCCGCTCAGCCGCGAGACGAGAGCTACTTGTACCCTAACAGGATCATCAATTAATGACCTAAGTTCTATCAAACAGTCATGTAAGAGTATCACGATCCAGAACTTGAACGTCCCCGCTGGCCAAACATTAGATTTGACTGGACTGAAATCTGGAACAACTGTTACCTTCAGTGGAACAATCAATTTCGGTGTAAAAGAATGGGAAGGTCCTCTAATCTCTATTAGTGGATCCCAAATTGCAGTAAATGGAGCATCCGGAAATAAAATTGTTGGTGGTGGCCCCTCATACTGGGATGGACAAGGAGGGAATGGTGGAAAGGACAAACCTAAATTTTTCAGAGCGGCAAGACTCGATCACTCCGTTATTAGAAACATTAACATTTATGACTCCCCCGTGCATGTCTTCTCAATTAATAGATGCCAAAACCTAACAGTAGATAATGTCCTCATTGACGACTCCAAAGGTGATTCTGGCGGAGGTCATAACACTGACGCATTCGATGTTGGCCGCTCTTCCCAAATTACAATCAAGAACACTAGGGTTTACAACCAAGATGACTGTCTCGCCGTCAACTCTGGAACCGACATCTATTTTGAAAACAATTACTGCAGCGGAGGACATGGTATCTCAATTGGATCCGTAGGAGGCCGTGACGACAATGTCGTAAGGAATGTTGTTGTTAGGAATTGCGAAGTTGCCAACTCTGACAATGGCATCCGAATTAAAACTGTTTATGGAGCTACAGGATCAGTTAGTGATATTACCTTCCAAGACATCACCCTTACCAACATCAACAAATATGGTGTCACTATTCGTGGCGATTACACCAACAGTGGAAGCAAAGGTACCGCAACTGATGGTGTTCCAATCAGGAATTTGGTAGTAAGAAATGTCCGTGGTACGATAAAATCTGGAGGACGCAGGGTTATGATTTTGGTTAAAGGAGCTTCAAACTGGAATTGGTCTGGTATAAGTCTGAGTGGTGGAAAATCAGCAAGTGATTGTTCCGGAATACCAAGTGGTTCCGGAGCGCAGTGTTGAGTATCCTGGCAGTATTTTGATTGTCAACGTACTGTTATACTGTTTTCACGTTAAAATTTACAAAAATAAAGTACCACCAACCAGAATTTGATCATTTATTCACACTGAAAATGCTCATTCTGTTGTGATTATCGTTGGATAATCAAGGAGTGCTCTATAGTTAAGTGTATCATGGTTCAGTTCAGTATGTTGTAGGCTAGTTATAATGTAAAGGTGGTAGTAATTTTTATATGTCACTTATCGTAGTTTTTTAGTTTATATTATTCATAAAATAAACATTGATAAAGTAAACGTAAATATCAATAGTAAACACGGAAACATGAAAATTAAAGAAGGGTTTCAATCAGCTCAATGCGCTTACTAAGAGGTGGAACTTCAGTATCGTCTAATGTCGCATCAAGATAATTATACTCAGTAGTTCAAATTTTACACCCACTTATCAAAATAATAATATGGAATGTACAAAACCAGAAAAGATAATTAAGACAAAGTTTCAATAATTAGTGGTTATCTTAAATCAAAGCGTCGTCTCTATCAGATAATTAATCAACAAAATTCGAGTAAGCTAAATGAAAATAAAAATGTACCTAACAAAAACAAATAATAAATAAATGAAATAATCACTGAAATATATCTTGATAATGTTACCGACTTTATTATCTTTTAATATTCTTCCCAGAATACTTAACCAATTATGTAACAATAGCGGTTCATCGATATTTACAACAACAATATTTTAGCAACAATTCAAAAAATACAAATGACTTCATAAAATATTATTAGAAACTTTTAACCGTGTTTCCAATAAGTTGTGCGACTTTGTCGTATTCTTAAATTGGATCAAACACATACCCTCACTTAATACCAAGAAAATTCGAATGAGTTGGATTAATAAATGTGTATTCAAATGTAGAAATTCCTACGAAATACTTTGAAATGCAATAATGGAAAATATTAAATATTAATGTGAAAATTTATTTTTAA